ACACACACACACACACACACACACGCACACACACGCACACACACGCACACACACGCACACACACGCACACACACGCACACACACGCACACACACGCACACACACGCACACACACGCACACACACGCACACACACGCACACACACGCACACACACGCACACACACGCACACACACGCCCACACACGCCCACACACGCGCACACACGCGCACACACGCGCGCACACGCGCGCACACCCGCACACCCGCACCCACGTACATGCACGTACACGCACGCACACGCACGCGCACACGAGCCCATGCGAACACGCAGTCGCTCCGTCCCATCCGCACCAACCAACCAAGATTTGGAAGCTGCCATCTTGAAGAACCAAAAAACAAAACGAAGTCCAGGGATTAAATGTGAACAACCAAAGTCCTGCTTACTTGGGAGTCCCTACCCGTGACCCAACCAACCATTGAGTCGAGGGCTCCTCAATCCCAAGATGCAACAAACACCACAAACAAACGAGACAAGTCCAGCTAGCTCGTGCCGGTTTGTTCCTATCGCCCCGCTCCGATACAGCAACAATTCTAGCAAACTGCATGCGAAGTGGCGGCGGCTGACTGCACTGCCTGCAACGCAGTGTGGGCGGAGGGTGCAGTTTGGATGCTCCATGCTACAGCATGTTCTGCAGGAGCATTTGGTCATGAAGCCCGCCTCGCACCCACACAGCCCAAAAGCACTCGGAATGCTCGCTGCCTTAACAGCTTTCACCTGCCAGGAACTTCAATCATTCGGCTGAGTTTGAGTGCCTCTCATTCACAGATGAGCGAATGAGCGGGCCTCACTTTCAGCCGCTCCAGCGTAAAGCACCGTATGCCCAACATCCTGCATAAGCAGCTGATGTAGTGCATGTTGGCTGCTGTCTCGATGAGCTTTTCTTCGAGCAGCCGACAGTCCACAAGCATATCGTTGACAGGGGTCATGCGTATCCGCCGAGGCCTCGGGCCGAAGGTGTATAGGTTGTGAGAACAGGCACCCCCCTCCAAATCCTCCCCCTAAACCGAAACACGTCGGCCCCCTTTTTTTGCCTGGAATGGGTACGCCCCGTAGGCCAGCGGGCGGTTCGCCAGGACCAGGGGCAGTTGAAGCCCCCCGCCCCTGCAAACCCAACCCTCATTGCTTGGGGTGCTGCGATTTGGGCGCTGCGGAATCACCATGCTCACGCGGATGCGCTGGGCCGAGCCGAGGCGGGTCGCGTAGCGTTAAACTTACGGCCACGCTTCACTCCTGCAGCTGCTTCACTGCTTCGGCGGCTCTGGACAACGGCAGCCCGGCCACAATCAGAGGCGGCGCTGTTGGTGACAGGGGAACTGCCAATAGAAGTGCAACAAAGGGTCAAACACTGGCATAGTCAGACAGTTCAGAAAGTGTGAAACGTCAGACCATGTCAGACCCACCTTCAGGCAGCAGGCGCCAGTCAGTTCCCTCGGCAGGTGCTGTCACCTCTGCTGCAGCCGATAGTCGCCGAAAGGGCACATGCCACAAGCAACTGCAGCCAAGACAACAAGAAATACCTATCTTGCGCGGCAATTCGGTTCCACTCTTCTCGAGCTTTTTGCATGAGGGACAACCGAGAAGTCATCGCCAAAGCTTCCGCGGGCGAGGTCCGCAGCCTGATTTCGCCAGGTCATCACACTTGCTGCACAGCTTCCCTGATCCTGCCTGTGCTGGTGACAGTTCGGTAAAGAATACCTGAGCCGAGCCATGCTCTTGTAAACTGGGGAGTTCCAAAGGAAAGAGCACATGACATGCACCGGTTCTTAGTGCTTTCGAGTGGCTACAGCCATTTTGCCTTAGTCAGACACGATGTGCCACCAAATGGTCACACGCAAGAATGCTCAACATTTCAAAGCCGCATTTGTTGCCCATTTCTGGCCGAGCATCCCTTTGTTAAGGCTCCTGTGCTGTGAGCTGCCAGCGCAAGCCGCGTTGACTCTGATGGGAGCTGCATGGCGATGCCTTTTGGCGCAGCGGCTACGGCTACGCCTACCGTCTGCACACTTGTTTGTTACTCTTGACCGTTTCGCCGAGGTGCAGTCGCACGCAGCAACCTTGGGGACGATGTCCGCATGTGAGAGAAACAGGCTCCCGTCCTGGGTCAAAGAGAAGTAAGAGCGAAAACACCGTAGCAGGAGCATTCTGCTTCAAGATTCCTGTGTGAAGCTTCAAACGTCGTGTGCAAGGCAGGAGAAGCTGCCACCTGCTCCATGCTGCTGCTCACCCAGCGAAGGGCCCATGTCCGGAGCAGCTCCATAGGTATCGAAACAATTCGCAGCAACCGTAGCAACCGTAGCAACCGTACTTAGCATGTCCTTGCACCTCTCCAGCCTTGACCCCCAGACAGGCTAAGCAAGTTCGGGAGGTAACTTCCCACTTCAAGCTGACTTCAAGCGCCGAGCTGAGACCCTGACTCTACGTTGAGTCATTACCGTAAATGCCTCGAGCCCAACTTGCTAACAGTATCTGTCTGCCTAGCCGAGACTAAAGCTGCAGAAAGCGCTGACAGGCACAAAAACAAACAGCACAAGACCTGTTGTTGCAGTCTACACGATGTCGCAAGAGTCTCGTTTCAGCAAGTTGAGGACGCTGTCATACCAGGGGCCAACGTCGCTGGCAAGCATGAACTAGCGCGACTGCCGGACGAGCCTCGTTAAAGGAAGCCCCTGATTGAAGTGCCTGCAGCCAACGGCACCGGTGGAGGTAGTGGTGCTTGCGGTGCTTGTTTCCAGTAGCAGCATTCCAGCATTTGCAGTGGGATGCCTTGTAAGCTGCAGCGCGGGACAAAGCATGAACAGCTGCTTCCGCAGCAGCAGGCTCGGAGACCTGAGGCTCTTTTTTTTTGGTGAATGTTAAGCGCCCATGATTTGTACTTCTTCTTATAGAATAGACCAGAAAGGCTCTGGAAACTTAAGAACTTGGTGGTGTTGTGGCAAGCTGTAGCTTCGAAAGCACCGCCAAAGCTTTAGGAGCGGCGGCCCTCTTGCGGCCCTCCCTGATCGAATGCCCTAACCTGAGATTCATCCTTCGTGCCGGCTCGAGTTTCCCTCAAAAGGAAGCTGCAAACTGTTGGGCATCCCTTGGCCAATGAAGTTCCAGCCGCAGATGCTTTTGGGTGTTCGTCTCTAAAGTGAGGGGCCCCGATCAAAGTACCCACCAGCCGGACCCCACCGGAAAAGACGGAGTGGACATGACAGAAGTTGATGCTATGCTGCTGGGAATTAAGGCAGGAGTTGAGGCACCGGAATGCGAAGCAGCAATCCACCAAAGGTGTGGGGCCCTTACTCGCCCTCCTCCTCGCCCGGTCTCCTGGCCTGGTCCCTGGAGTGCCCAACCCCAAAGCCTGCAGAGACCCCCAGAGATTTCGCCCGTGCCTTGGGTGGCTTTTCTCGAGGAAAAGACCGGCAATATATGCGACCTAGAGAAAGCACCGAAGCCCACTTCCCAGACAGGGCAGCGCACTTTTCATGGCGACTTTGGCTGAACTAGGCGAGATGGAAGTCCGATGAGAAAGCAGACCGGACCCACAGCCAATTAAGCATCCTTGGCAGCCTTGGCGGCCATCTCCAAGGATGAGTTGCAAGCATTTACATGGGACATGGGGGGGCCATTTTGGCTCCGAAAGGGTGACACGCTCCGAGGGCCTGTTCGGCTTTTGCCGGAAGCGACCACTTGAGTATCCATACATTTTCCAAGGGCTTGTCCGTTCCTACCGTTGTTGTCGCGTGGGTTCAGGAAGTTTTCAGCTTCTGCGGTGTCGAGTTAGCTGGCCAGGAATTGCAGTTAGAATGGAATGCACGGTGTTTTCGGCTACTCCCAGTGTCGACTCTGTCGACTCTGTTCCTAGCTGCTCTGTGGTTCGTCTGATTTTGAGCACCCTATGCTCTTGTGCTGGCAGCACCAGTCCTTCTTGCTGCCTGACCAGCCGACCTCCCAGTTGTCATCGTCATCATTGCAGTCATACCTCATGAATCCGAAATGCTGCGATCCCCACTGCCTGGTGAGACAAAACAAACGGAACATCAGCCATAACTCAGTCATGTTTCTCTGTAGTGTCCGAGTCATCACAACCACGATCTCTGTGGAAGCAGCACCAGATCTTCTTGGCCTGCGTGCTCACAGTGCGCAGAGACTTGCTTCTCTCCCACGCCTTGCAAACACCTCAATGAAAACCCCCAGTGCAAGTACTTTGCTGCCACCTGCGACCAGCCATGGAGCCAGTTCTCATAACCGGCTTCACAATCATAGCGGGCTCCCGTTCTGTCTGGGCATCCGACTGCAGCGTGGTAGCCTCAGTGTTATTGCTGAGTAGCTTCCGCCGAATGCCGGTTGGCATTTTCATTCGTCTATCTGCAAGGGGGTCTGCTACAGAGGCCTGCAGAATGCCGTCAAAATGCAGCACCAGGCTGTTTTCTCGGAGTCCCAGCTTTGCGAATATCCCGTTGTGCAGTCCTGGGCTGGGTAGTTGTGTGGGTTGCGAGGAAACGATGGTCAGAACCAGGATGGATTTCGCTTGGGTCTCGTTTGCGCCTGGCTTATGTTTTTACATCCAAGCGTCGTACCGCTGGTCTCTGTGGTGCCCAACCTTCCGGCAATTTCAGAGCATAAAGTTGCTCACTCTTCTTATGCTGACAGCAGCGGCTTGAAATTTCACCTGGAGCAGTGCCTTTCCTTTGACATTCTGTAGGGTGGCTACCCTCAGCAGAGCTGTTGCGCCTCAACCGACCCAGAAATCTATCTGCCAAGTTTCTCTCTCTTGCACCTACAAACCCACAAACAACCGTTTTGAGTTGAGGCAAGCTCTGATTGAATGCCCTGCCAATGTTGCAGATGTGAGCAGATCTTGTCTAGCATAAGGAATAAACACGCGGGATCCGCAGTCTTAGAAAGTACAGTCTGAGTCTCGTATTCCAACAAGTGGGACACGGCCCAGGGATACATGGTTAGTTCATGGTGCTTACCATCTTGTCGCTATTCTCAACAATTCACAGCATGTGTTTCTACGGTATGTTGCGCAGACGAGCAGTTTTCCCACTTACCTGGAACCAGTGGTCCAAAAGAAAGGTAACTGCAAAACATGCCAAACGGGCAGCCGTGGGAAATTGCAGGGTCTGTCCACGGTGTTCATGCGCCTCGTTAAGGCAGGTGACCCATGTTGTCACCCGTGCAAAATGCTTCTTCTGTGAGATTTGTGGGCACCTATGAAGTCTCTACTGTCTATAATTTCCGCAATGGAGTCATCCCCTCCCCCTCCTTTCCCTTTGCCCCCACACATGCCTACGCTCTGCATCAATACTTGTCCATTTTGCAAAGTTCATAAAGTGCTTTCTTCCTCTGCCTCGTACTGAACTGGGCATCCACGGGCATAATGCATGCAACACCACAGCTGCTTCCTTGGTGCAACCGCAATTTTTGCATGGCGGCTTCGCATCGTTTACCGAGGGAGAAACCACTTCAGCCTAGAACTTTGACCAGGCTCCGATAGGACCATGCAGATGTCCTTGGCTCATGCTCCAAACTGTTGATTTAGCTTCGCTTGCCGTTTTCTGGAGGTGGGGGGAGGCAGGCAAAGGTGGTAAAAAAACCTTCTTGCCCAACTCAGAAACGAGATTCCCTCTGCCCAGGTCGATCTCACAGTCATACGCGTCACTGTGCAAGGAAGACCTGCAGCCGATGCCTTGGTTAGTTGGCGATTGTACAGGGACATATTTGTCATACTTTGCATGTGAGAGACCGCTAGTTTTGTCACGGGTTTAGGGATTTAGGGATTATTAGGGTACCAACGTGCAGCCGTAGCTTCCGTGATTTTCGCAGCACCAGTTCTGCTTGCCTGGGAAGTATTCAACGCAGTTGAGCTGCAGAGGCTTTGCAGCGGGCACCGCTGTTGCAGTTTCGGGCTTTTTCTTAGGCCCTTCGCCTGTCTTGTTTTCGACTACAGCTTTTATTTTGATGACCGTAGGCCGCAGGCCGCCGTTGATTTGCGATTGGGAGCCGCGGCGTTCTCTTGATCTTGGCTGTTTTGGCACTGGGTTTGGCATGAATTTGAGCTGAGGCACGGAGTGTCCAGGCAGTCTGCCTCACTTCACACTCACACCACGGGGCCAGCTCACGCTCAGATCCTTGTGACTGGCGCCTACCAGCGTAAACAAATGCTGCCTGAGCTGCCAATACAAGACATCTGCATAGCAGTCGTCATCATCCGACTGGGGTCTCGATGAAGCACCGGAGAAGCCAGAGGCCTGCATCAAGAGATGACTTTAGTTTTCGCACTTGCACACAGAGGGCGTTCGCCTGTAACACCCCACCTGCGGCACCACTGTGGACTTTGGAGTTGTAGTTGGGCATCCCATCGAGTAATGGTCGCAGCACCAAGCCCTGAGCTGAGGCTTCGTGAATTTGATTTGGGCCGTGAAATGTGTTGTGCATGCTTTGGGCGGTGGAGCTGAGCAGCAGTTTTGCATGACTCCACATTGTTTCAGGATGATGGAGGCAGTCGTAAGGGACGTTGATCTGAAGCGGCTCCGATGTGGACACCTTAAGAGGCCGCTTGGCAACGTTTTGAACCAACGTTTTGAACCGCTCTGGCACACCGGCAAAGGGTTGGAAAGCTTGGGGAAGAGCTGGGGGCTACCAAGGAGCCAAAAGATCCGAGGCAACTCGCCAAGAGGAGGCAAGTGCAATCGCAAGTGCAATAGCTGCCTGACGCATGCCGAACGTATGGCACGTGATACTTCAGCATCAGTGCAGACCACCTTCTCCACACAGCTGTCGTGACACTTTGTGCATGCAACTTTTAAACATGGCTCTGCCGTCCACACTGTCGGCGGGGGCTTCTTGAAGTGTGATAGTGCCAGGCAATCGAAAGCCGAAGCTGCAAAATCACATTGCGTGCATGCAAGGAGCGAAGACAATGAGGCAGATGGCAGAGCCCAAAATTATCCACTTGTATCGTTCAAAGAATGAAGCCTGATCCTGTCCGTCTGACGGGTTGAATTGAAAGACAAGGCAAAGAATGCGAACTCTACCAACGCATTATGGCTTTTCATGGCGGACCATGATGGGGTAATAGGCAGTACATTCAGGTCGGGGGGGTCACGGGCCCATTTTTTTGCGTCGTCAACAGTGAGCTTTACAGATTCCTCCTCCCCCCCCTTCCTTCCCCAGGTCCTGGGTGGAGTGGGCTACGAACACTGCCGCCAGGTTGGGGTTCTGGCTCTGGACGTACCTAAGCTATGTGCTCCAACCAACGTCCCGAAGTTTCGGCGAGAATACGTGAACTGCACCCTGCAGCCGGAACAAGGCAAGTCAAGACAAAGGACAGCAATGTGGATCGGGCATCGTTTTGATCTTCAGATTTCTGCTGCACACAGCTCAAATAACCTCCATGCCCTTGGCTGGCAAAGGTGCAAGAACAAGCGACTGACCAAGTGACGGTTTCGCAAACTGCTTCAACGCTCCGTCGCGGTGCTGAGCCGCAAAGATGCTTCCAGGACTCCATCCAACGCCTTCAACAAAAAGCCTCCGGCACAAACTTCTTCCACAAACTGCGTAGCGTGGCTCTTGTCCTTGTGAACCTGCGTTGCACGTAGCTTGGTCACAACAAGTATGCAAAGGCTGACACCGCTGCTGGCTTAACGACTTGCTCATACAAACCGACAGTTGTAGGCTTTCTCTGAGAGCAAGTCATACGCGTAAGTGGAGTGAGCGTCTCGTCTGTCCAGATCCATTCGCCTGGGTTGCGCGAGATACACGTTGGTAACATTGGGTACGGCAAACGCAGTGCTGCCGGAGCTGCTCCGTGCACGCCATATAGCCTGAGTGGCGCAGGGGTGCACCTAAACGCGTAAGGCCCATTTTTCCTACTCCCACGCGCTGCGAATCAGTGTATATTTTTCAGAATGCAGTTCTGTATCGAGCTTGTCTTGTGGAGCTGACTGCTGACGCAAAAACTAGCACGCAGCACATCAAGCATTTCCCAGTCATCGGATTCGGATGAAGACTGCTTCAAGCAAGTAATGCTTGCCCCTCGTATGCTGCATTGGAGATCATTCACTTGCTGCCAAGTGTCCCAAGCTGGTTCTCTTCGAAGCTTTCGACAACGGTTTGTCGACAGCTTTCAGAACGAAGTTGCTGCCATACGGCACCTTGAGAAAGGTCACGTGCTCAGTGTGGTAGTAGTCGTCATGCACATACCTTCGCGCGTGCACGAGCTGTGCTCCGCATCTGTTAACTGCACTGTGTTACAAATTCGCAACGTGCCAGGATGCATCCAGGAAGAGTCGGTATCTCGATTCATTGCCTGCAGGCGCAGTGCTTTGCCCACCAATCAGTGCACTGTGAACTTCATGCAGCTAGGGCCCCAACGGAGGAGCATGACACGTATCCCGTTTGTGCAGAGACGCCGCCAGCCAAAGCTGACCAAAGCGTGTTCGGGTCACCACCTTACAGAGATGACAAAAATCTTCCATTCAGTTGGAGATGCATATGTTACAGCTGCAGATAGTCCGGATAACCGCGCGAGAGATCGTGCGTCAAGATGCGCGAGCCGACCACCCTGATCCAAAATGGAACTGTTGTGCTCAAGCTTGTGGAGGATCCTTGAACGCCCTCCGCCTGCCAGGTTGACGCGACATTATGCGACGCAGTGTGGAAAGCGTGCGCGGGCTGACCTCGGAAGCCCAAGTGTTGTGCTTTGCGGCTTTTTGCGTCTGCCATAGAATGACGCTGGCACCGTTATGCAGCTTTCCATCCTTCACATTCAAGTCAAAGTTGGGATAGTCTGCAAGCCTGAGCGACCAGCTGGAGGAAACGACTGGCACAGCACTTCTCAGAAGTCTTCACAAGACTTAAATCACCATGCATTTGGATGCAACACGGTCTTGCCAAAAGGAAGCAACTCGAGAGGCCAGGGAGCGTCAGCATCCCGCTGCTATTCCACTGCCACTGGTTGAAAGGCTCCGGTTTTCCCGTATGTGGTCTCAGAACTACGAGGCTCCCGTTGCTCACCGTCTCAACAGACAAGGCCATATCGGGTGATGCACCGAAAAGAATCAAGCCATCAGGTCGCACAATCCAGTCGTGACCTTGGGCCCAATGTCTCTTCGAAGCACCGGCAAAGCAGACAAAGCAGACAAAAGCAGACAAAAGAAGACAAAGCAGTAGTGCAGGCGGTGGGGCCATGATGAACGCCACCGGTCTCAAGTATTACAACCTGTGCGGGTGTGGCGGCAGCTACAATTCCGAGGTAGGTGGTCACACAGGAAGGCGCCTGCTTTCCCTGCACTGACAACGAATACTGTGGGGACCTAAGGTAGCCCGGCAAGTGCGAAGTGAGCTCTCACAAGGTCGCTGAAGTTCATTGAAGTTCCTTGAAGTTCCTTGAAGTTCCTTGAAGTCACAACCACACTTCGGTACGACAAGATGCTGCGCCAGCCATATCGGATGTGCATCCTGTACTTACCACTCTGGTGACGACAATGCCGTCTTCTCTAACAATGCACTGCCAGGACGTTCAGTGAATCAGTGAAGTCCTTGTAAGTGGATCCAATCAAGTCCTGGGCTCCTCCAAACTGGGAGCTTGGGCGCAGGCTCTGCAGGCTCTCAGGACCAAGGCTGTGCGCTTTGCGCCCTCTGGAACATGCCATCAACCCCGGCCTCTAAGTAATCCAGAGTACCAGGTATCACCTCCGGATGAATAGGCCCCGGTCATTCTGCATCTTACATGTGCTGAGATATGATAGGCCCTGATAGGCTGTGTGCCAGGATGTGGCCCAAATATGCAGGGTGCGAACAATGCCTTAGCTTGACCATGTCTTGCGTCAAAACAGTTGTATGGGAAAAGGCGGCACGACACAGGGCCTGTCACCGGCGAATAGGCCATGGTGAATCATCCCTGGCATGTGCAGGAGAGGGTGTGCATTCCTGGGGGAGAGACGAGGTGCAAGTAGCATGACGCTGCAAAGCCCCCCCCCACAAGCAACATGCAATTCTTGTCTTGTCCAAGCGGCGACGTCTTGGCCAGCGCAGCTGGCAGAACTCTACTCTGAAAGCTAAGCCAAGACAAGCAGTGTTCATAAGACACGTGGCTCACACTCACTCTCGCTCCCAGTGTCTATTTCTCACTTCAGCTTCTTCTTGGCGGGTGCGGGAGTTAGGTCTCGCAATCACGACCACCATGCAAGATATCCCCGTGTATCAAGACTGCAGGCTGACTGCGCTCGTCACCAGCAATGGGGGCATATGGGTGTGACAACATCAGTGATGAAGTGGCCATTGATGTACCAGACCATGCAACCACAAACGGCTCCCTGTTCCCTGCGCGTGATGTGCTCTTCATTCGGACGCACTCTCTTTCTTTTTGTCTTTCTTGCTTTCTTTCCTAGGGCATTGGGCGTCAGGGCCTCTCGGAAAAGAGCCGAGATGAGAGGAACCAGCTGGAAGGTAAACCTCACCCCCGCACTATGCCTGTGTTCCCTACCCGCCCTAGTTTCAAGCTACCCACCTCTCCCACTCACGGACTGGCCCCTTGAAACTGTTGGGTGCGATGGCCCCGCGAACGAATCTAGCCACCCGTCCTGAATCGGTGCCCCCAAACCGCAGCACAAAGCTCAACATAACACAGGCACTCTTTTTCTTCTGCTTCTTCTTCTTCTTCTACGGGGCTTGAGGAGTAGGGAGGTTACCCTACCCCCCGCTGTCTGGGCGTGCCCAGACACGCGGATCTGTCTGGTCAGGTCGGCGTGAAACTGAAAACCCCAGGGGAAAACCATTCTACTACCATACCATACCAGCGGACCATCAGGCCGCAGTCCCGGCACTTTCTCTGTCTCTCCCTCTCTCTTTCTCTGCCTCCCTCCCTCCCTCCCTCCTCTACTTCTGCCGCGCAGGAAGGGCGGGGTTCTTGGGCTGGAGGTCGGGTCGGTGTGACACGAAAGAATGAAAGCAAAGCGCCGCTGAGCGGACCCGTCACAATTGAAGAACAGAACCCCGGGTTGGTCACGCGAGGTGTGGCGATCTTGTGGCGGGTTTCTCGCACACTGCAAGCTCCCCGTCTGTCTCAGGGTGCCCCAACGCTGGTTTTGGGGCTGAGGCTCGAACTGGGCACGGTTTGAGCCAAAATGCCTCTGTCTGTCTGTTGTGGGGCGAGGGAGGGGACGCGCACACGGGGAGTTCGCCCCCATCGTCGGGGCCTTCACTGCTCCAGTACAAATGCGCGCGCCCCGAACGACACTTCCTAGCGATATGCTGGTCTTTCCCGCTACCATTCGCAAGGGGATGCGCCATCTCTCTTCTTCTTGAGGGCATGAGAAGAAGGGCCCCCCTCTCCGCACGCCTAGCACGCCCGCCATCTTTCTTTCTTTCTTTCTTTCTTTAGGGGCTTCGGGGCAAGCCCAAGCGCGCCCGCCATCTCTTTCCTTTTGTCTTCTCCAGGGGCTTGAGGGGCAGACCCCCTGCGCGACGCGGTCCGTTGTATCTCGGGTACTCGGGGGGCAGATGATCCCCCCCCACCAATATTGCTCTTCCCCATCCCGAGTGCCCTTGAGAGGTGTCTTTGCGCACGAAACATTCCTTTCTGGTTGCCCCGGGCCCGAGCCATCTTTCTTTCTTTCCTTTTTTGCTTTCTTGGGGCATGAGGTCAAGGGCCTCGCACGCTCCGCGCGTGGTGCCCCTCTCCTTCTTGACTCTCTTGCGCTTCCCCTTTCTTTCCTTCCTTCCTAAAAAGGGGCAGAGGGGCCGGCCCCCTGTGCAGTAGTTGGGCGACCGGCGGACTCAGCGCCTGACAAGGCCCTCCCTCGCAACCTCTTTCTTTCTTTCTTTCGTTGGGGCCAAGGGGCAAGGCCCCGCGCCTAGGCACGCCCCTCGCAACCTTTCTCTCTCTCTCTCCCTCTCCCTCTCTCCCGTGCACCCGTGTGTAGCTTATTGTCTAGCTGCGGCTAAACCCCCCGAGCCGCTTCGACGCTGATTGCAATCTGAATCAATCTCAGCTTGAGGCCCCAGTAGCACGGGCAGCTTCTTGCACCAAAGCAGCAGCTGCGGGCAGCGATGCCTGGGCAAATCGTGGCAGGTTCGCCAGCGCTATCAGCATGGACACGGTGTGCAGTTCTAGAGGGATTTGGGCTTGTTCCTAGATTTTCGGCTTTGACTCCAGGGTTGTATGACATGCTTGAATCATCTGAGCCCGGTGCTTCGACGGCCAATCTGGCGACAGCCCGTGCTGCTGCATCACAGGCTAGCCTGCTATGAGATCTCCTTAGCGCAGCAACGGGGTAATCCAGCCTCAAATCGGAGCTACACCGCTTTTTGCCAAACTGACTTAGAAGGTGTGGACCATCGTATGAATACAGGCTTGTGGTTGCCATGACGATGTGTGAGCCCGTGGCTCTCCCACTGCTTCCATGGCCTGCGCAGTTTTGGGCACAGCGTGTGCGCCCCACAAGAGATGCATGGCCAGTTGGCGAAG